CATTAAATATTTTATATTTTAATATGCATTTACGTGGCGAAGGATTGCAAATTACTTTCGCTGAAGGCGTTTCTTGTGCAACAAACTGTTTGCGAGGATTAACTTGGCAATCCTTTAAATGCAGAGAGAATACCGACATAGAAAGATTCGAAAGTGCAGGAACTAAATAAATCGGACGACGTCCTTAGCACGCCTTTATCCGCGTGAGCCGTCGAGATTTATTAAACCTGCATATACTTCCGCATCTTCTACCTTGAGCTTAAGCTTCGATACGGTTTATTTTACTCCAGCAAGTTTCCTGAAATTCAAGCTAAACAAATGAGCTTTACCGCTGCTCAAGAAAAACAGACGTTTTCCCTTATAGGTGCTGGTTGAATATTAGATTAAGCTAATACAATGTTTGCCTTTTGTATTTTGACAAAGATTTTAATCTTCCAACGCACTGTTTAATATTATTTAATATACTTAATAAGAATTAAAATTTTTTAATCGTTAATTTTAAGTTGAGTACAGCTATTAAGCGATAATAAAAATATGAATAAAAATTAAATTAGAAATAAAATAATTTAATTATAAATATAATTGGTAAATTATATAAATAATGAATACAAACAAAATATAACATTATAAATGTAATTAAGCATACATTTTTAAATATAATTTTAGATGTCTAACAATGCGCCCGCGCGTTGCAATCGCATGTAACATCGCTTGTAACGCATTGCCTGATATCGGTATTTTCCCGGTTATTTTTCTTTGCCAATGTTATCGAGCAAAGAAGAGCGAAGAAGAGATATTCTTTCTCTCTTCAGGTATTGATATTTCTACCAACGACGTAAACCATTAGACATTAGGAATATATTTTTCCTTCTGCCTTTCTCGTTCTGTTTATTTTTTTATTTGCAAGAAAGATTTTTATTAAGTGGAAAAAATCTCTCTTTATCTTTCTTTCTTTTACCGGTATTAAATGTGATTCAATGCTTGGTAAACGAGAAAAAATACATCAATAAATAGTCTGTAAATTTAATTTTATGATGTAATAAATTGTAATTTCTACCTATACAGCACAAAAGCTTGCAGCAACATTGCTTGCATATACTGCAATATTACTGACAAGATTTATGCTATATAAATATCATTTACACTGATTCGCCTCTCTCTCTTCAATATCAGATAATAGTAATATACAAAATTTCCGTATATTTTTATAAAAACTGATAAAAAGTAGCACGTTATAATACATTCCGTATACGGTTGGAATCATTTTCTATTCCATTGCAAATTGCATTGTACTCCTCGAGAAATTTAATTCTCGAAAAAACCCGGCGGATGCTTAACTCGCGAAGTAATTACGCGCGGCTGATGTTAATTATCCGGTGTTCGCGTTATGTGCGCGAATACTGTGAAATCGACCGATCGATTTAGTTGAGACGCCACGGAGTGCCAAATGATTCCCAATGGAGCAAAACCAACCCCGGCAACACCAATCTGCCGGATATCGCGTAATTATCTAAGCAGAATAATATGCGCACGCGGAATGCTACGTTTTATGGTAATTATCTTTCATGGCTACTTTGCGCTTGGTACACATTCTCTGCTTTCGAGAACATTGATTTAGAAAAGTTTTAAAATCAGCTTGTAAAAAATCTTGTTTTTTGACGTTTTTTTATAAAAATAAAAGCATTAATATTTAAAGACTTTGATTAAGAAAAAACTCAATCGATATTAACTAAAAATAATGTAACATTAATAATTTATAATTACACATTCAATAATGTAACCGTTATGTAACATGTGCTATATATCGAGTATAAAATTATAACGTTGATTTTATGTTACTTTTAGTTTGTGTTAACTGGAAATTGATTTTGAATTTATGAAGAATTATATAGAACTTTCTATATTATATTATATACAGAACTAATTTACATGCGCAAGATATTATATCCGCAATATATAATCCGAAAGTTTCACGACTTCTTGTTTCTCAACTAACACCTTCTTGTTTCGCATCTTTTGTAGCGCATCGAAGAATACGTTGACAAAGTCGCGCATAAATCGTGGCTAAGTGCGCCTTAGCGTAGCCGATACACGCGCCTCCACTAATCCGTATTAATCGCCAGCCATTCATTAGGAAGTCAGCAATGGGTGCCGCGTAATTCTGCACCTGGCGCACTCTCTCGCGATCAATCGCTCGCGTTCCTCCCTTACCATAAATCTTGCCGCTAAACTACCGTTATACGCCCGCAGAAGACAATGACCAAGTAAGCTCAACGGCTGCTGAAGCACCCGCTGTGCCTCTAGGACAATCCGAAAGAAACACACGGCGCAATTGTATTTCCTCTTCGATCAAAGATGATCAAAACGGACTTTGTTAAATTTTTATTAAAAAGCGCTATACACATTAAACACGTGTATATAATATAAAATATCAATAAAATATTAGTAAATAGTTAATAAAGTATTAGTAAATAGTTCGTTTGCATAAAATATAATTTTAATGTAAAATAAATATTAATTTTAATACAAAACTAGAAAATTTACACAAAAATATTGTTAGGCATCAAGATCCGTTTTAACTGAATATGGCCTTCTGCGCTTACTGTATTTAACGATCTAATATTTTTGTAGCATATTATAAAAGGCGTTAAATAAATTGAAGAATGTTGTCCGTGAATACTAGAAATTGAATAATTTTTTTCGCTTTACATGCATTTAAAACCTTCTTTTAGCTTCCTCTTTTATTAAGTATTAAGATCGGCTTGTTTCGGATTCTCTTATCATTCGCAGTTCTACAAACAAGTTCCGATGCTCTTTATTTGATTCGGCGAGAACATTTAATCGGATTTTGAGATTCCGCTCGTAAGAGACTGATCGCAGACGCGTTCTCTTATTTTCCATCCTTCATTGTTATCGCGACGAAACAAAGGTAAGCGCGGTCGCGCAAAAAGACCGTAAGATGAGTTTAATGGCACTGGGCACGTCGCCAAATCGCGCCGCGGGGTCGAATGCACCGATTGAAATGTTCATTACCACCGCAAATCATCCAGCGAATCCGCGTAAGGAAGAGCTGCCTGTACTATATATCCACCACTTCGTATCTCTTTCAGCTCGCTCAACTGCGGTAGAAACGAATTGCCACGATAAATCCACCGGCGTCGATTTTTCTCGAGAGGCGCGTCGCTTCCAAGATGATGGGTTGGGATTCTTGGCGCTTATTACTGTGATTCGCAAACTCGCGAGAGAAAACTGAGAAATCTCGTCATTTACCACAATCTCAGAAAGATACAAAAATGTTATTCCTTCGGTCTACTTATTGAATAATAGCTTTAAAAGTACAAACGTAATTAAATAATAATCATATTTCTTTTCGATTAATAAACTAATCATTGAAATTATATTTATCCAATAGTTGATTGTTTAAATATTTTTTTGCATTATTTTCAGCAAAATTGAAGATATTAATCGCATATATTGTAGGAATAGTTAATAATTTATTTTCTTCTTTTCAAAGAGAAAATTGCAAAAATTCCAATAAACGAGGAAGAAATTTTTCATTTTTTAATTTGTACCAATAATTCTCTAAGCGAGTCTTTAACGAAAACTATTGTGAATTGGCCGATTTATAAACTACTGCCTTTTTTGTTCCAGACAAAGCTCCCTCGGAAGCATCCTTCAGAGGGACTGAGTATCTCACGATAGATTTGAGCAAAGGAGAACCAGTACTCAGTACACAAGAATCCATAAGCCTCCAGTTCAAAACGAGAGCAGCAAATGGACTTCTATTTTATTCCGGTAAGTACTTGCTGTGTTCATGGCGAACGACTTTCTTTGTCAATTATATAATAATAACTTCCCTCTAAGTGGCAATTTTATTTCCACTTGCGAATTGTTCTACTTTCGAATGCGTTAGCGGCAATTAAGAAAATAGATTCTTAATACTAGAAAATGTTCGCAGTTTGTATATCTAATAAACATATCTTAATATTCGAGTTACAAATTAAATATGTAAAAATAATGATTGTAAATATAGATTTTAAAGTATAAACCATAAAATTGTAAATTTTCTGGAAACGATTAATCATAGAGGCGCGCAATTAATTAAAAACAATTCAGGAAGATCAACAATGGAGTGACATCTAATCGAGTAACTTACGAACGACCGGATATCCTTTGAGAGAACGCAGGTAGACAATAGAACCATCTTGGACAATGGTCGCATATTAAATCCTTAGATTGCTCCTCTTCTCTCATGGTGACATTATAGCCAATTAGAACGTTTCAGTTCAGATACCGGACGTACAACCAACCAAAGAAATTTCGTCTCTCACCTTCCCTCTTTATGTTTAACATTGTTTTCTTATTATCTTTTCTCTCTTTCTCTTTTATTTTAAAGTGTTATATTGAATTATATTCGATCTATATATATGTTAATTTAAACTTCAAAATTTTTGTTTAGAATTTTTGCGCAGAATATCAATGTGAGGATATCGAAAACTGATCAAATTACTTCATTTATATATCTACTATATTTATTCATCTACAAATATTGTACTTTATATCAGTAATATTAGAATTTCTAATTTTATATTTAGTTCCAACATTAATGGTAAAAATTGATGAGAATCGAATTGCATATAAAGTACTAATTGGTAAACCGGATGGGAAAAGACCATTGGGTAGACCAAGACGTAGATGGGAAGATAATATTAGAATGGACCTTAACGAAATGGGGTACGAGGGTCACAAATGGAGGGATCTTGCTCAGGGACGGGAACAGTGGCGAGATTTGGTATTTGCGGCAATGAGCTTTCGAGTTTCTAACGCCTAATAATAATAATAATAATTAATGGTAAAAATATTTCGATTCTGTGCTATAATTCTAGTCAATTGTAATTTTTAATATGAAAAGATCAATAATTTGATCTACTAATAATTTTAAATGTTTAAGTATGAAGAGATGTTTGTAAAAGTAAGTTTTAGATAGTAAAATAAATCGCGATGTTGTTCTTTGATATTAATTTTAAAACTTTAACAAAATTTTAGTTTGGAATTTAAAACACAAATTTGTACAAAAATTTATACAAATTAAATTTAATCAAGTTGCCTGAATAATCAAGAGAGACTCGGAGAAAAGGTAGCTCAAGATAAAAGTTTGTTTCTTACTCGCTGGCATTTCGGTCAGATTTCTAATTTATTGTGCCTTTATATTACACCCACCGTTTCATCTGGCATATTATAGCTCCTCACCGGATGCACATGAACCTCCAGTTTATAGTATACTTACGTAATGAACGATGGAATCAGCGCAGCCAAGATGGCAAGACTGCACCATCCGCAGTAAAAGGAGGAGTTTGCACCTTCGCTCCGGTTACAGCAACTCGAAACCTATATAACGGAGCCGCAATGCCGTACCACATACACTTACGTGCGCTCTCACACGTCCGCATTCGCATACCCACTACTACATACGACACACAAGATGCATACGTAGCAATCGTTTCTCCCTCTTGCACTCGCTCTTGCATCTCCGCAGCGCTCTCACACCAGGCTGCTCATTTGTTCCTGAGATAAGCTATAATACAACCGCGCACTCTCGCCGCGCATTTAAATTGCACGTATTTCCGGGGGGCATAATAATCGTCACGCCACTTCTATTCTTTCAAATCGCGATATCGTACCGCGGGAATTCCCTTGCGAAGAACGATAAACATAACAATCTCCTTCGAGAATTCCGCCGAAACGTGCCTGACCATCTTCGTCTTTTACTACTTGCGCTGTCTACTTCTATACTTGGTTCGCTCACGTGCCGAGTCGCCGTACGTTAAATTCACATTGGAAATTTCGTCTGTTTTCGAATAACTGTTTGCAACACGATTACGCAAAGATATTTCTCGAATGTATTTGGGATTTACGCAGATAATTTGCATCCAGGGGATAATTAGGTAAAGTACATTCCAATAACGAGCGAACAATAAATAACAATTTACTCGTGCACGTATTTGCGAATGTGTTGGCGTTCAACGACTGTTATTTTTCATTCTAGAAAATTCGTTTGCTTTTTGATAATTAAACATTCAATATGAGCAGAGTTGGGAGAAACGGATCACTTATAGGAATTTTGATCACACTGAGAAAAAAATATACTATAAATTTTAATAAAGTTATTTGAATAGTACCAACTAAACATTTACTTACAATAAATAAATATATTTACTCAATAAAAAGAAAAATGTTAATTCAAAATAATGGTCCTTGTACCAAATAAATATATTTTTATATTTAATAAATAAAAAATTAGTATATTGTAGTAATATTGGTATATACTATTTAAAGAAATGATTTATTAAAATTTAGAATATTTTTTTAATATAGGGATGTAACTATAACGGAAGCGCGTAGAAAGTCTCGCCAATTTCTCACCGTAGAATCCACCTCGCAGGCGTTACCTTCGCAGCGCGTAACGTGTGTTATCATGTTTGTTGTCCGATAGCGATCCGCGATGTGCATCGCGCCGGCGATGGTGGTATTACGCGAATAAAAGCGCGATACGTAACGCGCGTAATGCACTTAGGCGCATACTAATGCGTCGCGCCGGTAGCAATTAAGCCCGAAGTACTGTCTGCATCTTTTATATGCTCGAGTCCCCGGGACTGCCCGTGAGATAATTAGTATGCGGTCGCGGCCCGATTTTAAAGCGACTACGGCAATAACCGACGGTGGCGTTTGCGAGATTCACGAGTGTAACGCCATATCCGTACCCGTTTGCGCTCCTGCCGACGCGCCTTAATCTACTCGCAATCTACTGATAAAAATTATAATTTTTGCTCTGTAGCGTATTAACGCCTCTTGTGTATTTATGTTCTTGTTATTCGCTGCACGTATCGAGAAAAATAATCGTAAATTGAAAAAAATACTTAAAAACTTGAGTTTTTTTTCTCTGTGAATTCTGTTAATTTAATTAAATGCACAACAGTTTGAAGAAAGTAAAATATTCACGCTATATTCACTGTGTATTCATAAAGGTGTTTATTGATTAACTGTATAATAAGAGGAATTTTCATAAACAATTTTATTAGATAACTTTTTTATTTTTAATAAAAAGTAAAGAATAAATTATAATTCTCGCTTTTTTTATTTCGATTTTTTCTTAAAAAAAAAATTGTTTTCACTGCGTTTAACAGATATACATTTTTATGATATAATCCTCCGTCTGTAATCTAATAATATTTTTTCTCTCTCCGATTTTGGTAAGCTTGAAAAATCGAGTCTTCTAAGAGTGTTTAATAATCATAATAAAAAAAATTTTATTTTTATTTTTTATAAATAAAAAATTATTTAAACAAATTTTGTAAAATTAAAAGAAACCGATTTTCTTCTAAGGAGTATTTTACTCCTTGAAAGTGCGACATGACATATAAAATATGTGTCCCTTATTTTTGTTTACAAAATAGCATTAAAAGTTCATCAAAATCATAGGAGAATATTTGGGTCTTTCTCGTAAGCTATACTTTAAATCGTTTCTCTGATATTAATTGTACAAGAATACTAATCGCAAAAATCGTTCTATCGGCAGAATCGTTTTGATCCTTCAACTCGTTACAAGTATAACATAATCCGCCAGGATTTTCTGGCGAATTTAGCACAGGATAATTATTAACGACGATCACCAGACGTTTTAACTGGTCGGCCGGAAGTACCTCGAAACTAATGGTTAAGCGGTCGTAATCGATTTATACGCGTCGCATCGTGCTATAATCCGGCAGGCGAGCTCGACGAAAAATGGAATGAGTCAGGGAACCTGATGGATCGACGTCGCCGCGGGGATTAAAAAGTTGCGTTGAAATTTGCGTACGTTGCTGTCGATCTTTTTTTCAGGCAATGCGTGCGACGTTAACGCGTCAAAAGGGATCGTGCTCAATGGACGGTAATGTTCCCGGTCACGTCAACACAGAGACAGCAACTAAAAAACGTCCGTGACGGCTGCGAGCATTTTCCGTATTCGACAATCTCGCGTCAGCCACTGTCACAATTAATTCAGTGGCATTATTTGCACTTCAAAAGCAAGATAAGAGTTTATTCGCTGTCCAATGTATACTGCACGCGCGCTCACAATACTCGCCACAACTTCATTAGACCCGTTTTTAATTACAGGAGAGGGCGATGATTATCTCACTATATCGCTGAGAGACGGAGGCGCCGCAGTCAGTATGAGCCTAGCCAAAGGAAGATTGGATTTGCACATAAAGCCGGTCAAGTTGCGATTCGATGATCGTCAATGGCACAAAATCGTCGTCCATCGGAAGGTCCAAGAGGTAACGATCATTATTATTTTATCTGTACATCCGCAAATAAATGATAAGATAAGAATTAAATACGGACGAATTAAAGATAGAATTAGAGACATCGGAAGTGAGTAACTGTAAGAAACGGACGCTGTCCAATAATGCAAATGATGTTGATATGTACCTTCAGCTCGAGATCCGTTTTTAAATATCTAATTTTAATGAGCGAAAAGTGGAAAATCCATTACAGTACGGATGTTGAAGGCGTTAAATTTTCACACTGTTGCGATTCAAATGGATCGGCGGACAGACGTGAGAGCAATTTTGTTAATGTTGTGGATATACACTGGCATTCATTGCGCATTATGCGCAGTAGAATAGATAACGCAATTATTTGCGCGCTACCATCGCGGGTTCCGTGAACTGTGCAGACTGACATGAGTTTATCAGTTTATCACCGCGAAATATTGGCATCCCTTGTCGAATGTAATATATACTGTACAGTCATGATAATTAAAGTAAACCAATATTTGTTCTGAAATCTGTTAATTTTGCAACAATGGATTGTTAATTAAAGATATTGTTTCATTCACTCGCGTATCTCATTTTTAACGTGAACAATATTGAAGCATTATAAGTATTGTTAATTCTTCATTATTTGCATGGAGTGTCCATGATAACCCAGCTTACAAATTCACTAAATGTATGAATACTACTCATATACATTATTATATTTAGCGCAAATTATTTTACAATTAAAAAAAGTTTTTGTATTTATCTTTATCCGTAGGATGTAAAGAACATTATCAATATTTATTTAATTTGTAGATGAATCCGTTAAGCATTTTTTTTTATTTTGCAAATTGCTCGCTTGATTTTTGTAAAACTAAGATTATGAGATAATTTGACAATGCTTTATTTGAATCTGAGATAAAAAATAAAAAATTCAAAATGATGAATACAATATCATAGATAGCATTTTTTTAAATGTATATTATCACAGACTTTGATTTTAGAGAATTTATAATTGCACAGCAACATCACACAAGTTTCCAGTTTCATTTTATTTGAAGCTCATCAGCGCTATGTGAACAGTTGTAGTAGATACTGATTTTCAAACTGATTTTTAAACTGTCATTGTGAGCCCTGTGATATTAGATCCTCCTTCACTGGAGAGTACTACTCTTTTGAAATTCGACATTGTCAGCAACATTTAAATTTAGTGACATCAAGAGAGAGTCTTGAAAACCTCTTAAAATCGAATTTCGCGATAATCAGATTATTTTTTTGAAATTTAAATTTTAAAATTCTGAAAATAGAATCAAATTCAGCGATTCAGAAAATTTTTTTAAAAACTTCTTTGAAATCTTCTTTAGTTTTTTTTATTAAAAGGTTTGCGTCCATCCAAAGAGTTAATTGTAAATCATCAATAACAAAAATTGAGATAAAATATTGTCAGAAACACCCTACGCGAACAATTACGTTAATAAAACAACATGGGTAATGTAGAATTAAATATATCGTAATAGTGTTAATTTGATATTTAGAAATTTGAGGAGCTCGAATATATGAATCAATAAAATTAAAGAGGAATAAAGAAAGTTTTAAACTGATGCTGATAAAAACAATTATTATAGATATAGATACGCTTCATTATACTCGTTGCATAGAGAAACTTGAACAATGGAAATAGCGTTATACAGCCAAATGCATTTAAGTAGTACGTGAAAGCTTACATTTATCTGTTTCCCATTCAATTCATTTTCATTATTTTCTGTTTGCAAAGTACCTTTTGTTAACAGGAAGCGCGATTGATCAGAGATTCTCGGGTACCATTATTTTTTATTAATCATATTTTCTAAGTACCAGATTAGGTATCTGTAAAAAGTAAACAGAATTGAATATTTTCATACTTTCCGTATAAAAATAAATGTTATATTATGAAACAGTTCAACAAAATTAATATTTATATTTAACAATACAATTTCATAATTTAAATAAAAATGTTTTCATTTAATCTGAATTTAAAAAAAAACATATCTTTTTATTGAAATAATTATTTTATTTTGGTTTTAAATTATAATTCTTTCATTTTGATAAAAATGTTGTATAATACATCTTTAAACTAATTTTGAAAATCATTACAATGCTCTTTATTCGTTCATAACTCAAAAGGGCTGTTTTTATGTTTCTACAAAAAAGAAATTGACTCAAATTGGTAAAAAATGTACGATCCCAAGGAAATACACTTTAATCACGGACACATAGAATTTTCTAGACTTATCTATTTCTGACTAACGTTCGTTATCTCATATCAGAATCGAAATGCGCCACTCCGCGCTATGTACAGTTACAATTTAAGGGCTGCGGATGTGCAGCGCATCGAGAATTAGGTCGAGAATGGTGTATAGCACGACTCTAATGTCCGCCGCTGCTTTGGATAATTTTCCTGAGCACACGCTGTTCGTTTGAGTCACTTCCGCAGCTGTGTAAACGAGGAATCGATTCCCCGAACATGTGCTGCCGAAGGACATCGTCCTCTGCGCTGCGGTTAAACCAGGGAAATATTTACCCAGCATTGTAATACGAAGATTTCCCTGGGTTTTCCTCAGCAAAATTTATATTTTTAGTATAATTCTAATATTGTTATAAACTGTTAATTTTTTTTAAACATTCTGTAATAATGACACTTCTCATCAAGTATCTGAAGAATTGAAATTCTTTCTAAAGAAATGAATTCAAAAATTAATGAAGTACGGTTCATATTTTTTTTTAATACTTCATTAATTGCAGCAAACTTGTTTGAATATTAACAAATTAATTAATACGAACAATCACGAAGGAGTACGACGTTTATATACCGTCCAAACGCATATTATTTATTATCACGCTCCAGTTATCTCTACTTACGCGATGAGTGGCGATATCTCTCCACGTGGCGTTTCAATATGCGTCGCACACGCATATATATATATATATATATATATATATATATATATATATGCGATATATGCAACTGTTCTCATCGCGTTACAAAGCGCATGTTGCGACATATCTCGGACGTACGCAACTCAAAGCATCAAGTAATTGTGCACATTTTCAATAGCGAAAGATAAATACTAAATTGCGAATAGAACGGGTGTATATGATTATTTCCCGCGTTCGTTTTACGATGCACATTTATGGTAGCACGCAGTGGCTTTGTTATAAAAAGAAAAAGCACTCGTGTTTATTGGGTAAAACATGCACGTTGCGTTTCTTCGATATTACTTCGTGCATGGAAAGTGCTGATCTGGTGAGTATTTATATCTTAGTCTACAATTAATAATAATTAATAACAAAGGTAGATCGCGAAAGAGGTACAGCACATGTCGAGAACGTTCAAATAATTGACCAAAATGTGAAAAATAGAGGGTAGATACAATGAATCTCCGGTATCTTAAAAATGATGAAAAAAAAAACAAATATACATACATATTTCTAATACATATTTCCTTTTTATTATAAAGAATAATTCAAAAAGCTTCTTACAAGAAATGATTACACACACACACACACACATACACACACTTTTGTATGTACTAAACTAACTAAACTTTCACATGAGTACCTTTAGTGGCTCGAAGGATATCGAACCGGTATTCCACTTCACGCTAAATGCGCTGCAGCATGTCGTTAGTTATGATGCCAATGGCAGCCACAATTTGGCTGCATTCACGTTTGACACTTTAGTGGAGAAAATTATATTCTTGATATACACTTAGAAGAAGAAATCTAATGGAATAATATCAGGGAAACGTCATTCGATAAAAACATAAATTTGAGCGAATTCCGAACAAAAAAAAATTTTTCGTCAAATCGTAATATTTATATTGATTCTTAAGATAATATATTTAAGATTATACTAATTTTTAAAATAATATTAAAACCTCGGAGATTCATCGTATATATCTTTTGTATATGTATATGCAATATTGTTTGTTGCATTTTATTTTAAATCGAAATGTATATATTTGCTACTTGAACAATTTTCTTCTAGCTTCTCTTGTAGCTTCTTTGTATCTTTAAATACAAAAGATGTAGATTTTTCTTTCGAGATATATATAATATCTCTCGAAAGAAATAAATATCTTGTAGCTCGATAATTATCGCTATCCTCATAACTTTTTTATTAAGAATTGACTACAAACTTTATTTAAAAATTTGCTAATTCCAGAATGGACAGAATAATTACATTTTGTGGTCAAATGAATAAGAAAGATACATTTATATTTACTATAATAATAATAATAATAATAAATAATTTATACTACATATTATTATAGGATGTATATATTTACAATAATAATACATTTTTTGTAAATTCTCAAAATATTTTAAACACTTATTCAGCTAAGACCACTGTGTGTGAAGAAACATTTGTATCGCGCTTTTAGTAGGGACTAAGCTTTATGGACAAGAATGAGAGAGGTAGAAAAAAATATGCATTCAGTGAGATTAGTTGTTGCTTCAGACAAGGATTCTTGTAACGCTCTTCAACCCTTCTATTTTACGAGCGGTGTGACTACACGCTTTCCAGGCGCGTTCAAAGAGGGCTTTCTCGTTCACTCTTGAACGTTGTCCTTCGACCAGTTTACTATCACGATATGTGTAAAGGTTAATACCGTCGACAGAAAGGAGGAAGGAAGAGAAAGAGAGTAGGAAAAGAGATTGGGTGTCTAGACACCCCTACTCTTCAGTTAGACTTGGGGGCCTCGGGGTGCGAGTTGCGAGGATCGACTTGCAGCGCGGATTGCCTATTACGTTCCTCCCGCGAGCGTTTACACCCATCGTATGTTACACACGGATACTATTATCTCGCCAATGGTTTAATTGTGCAGTGGTTACCATGGGCGTTTCACCAATGTATCTATACGTATAAATAATAATAGACGAGTATAAGTATCTTTTATCTTCTGTAGAAGTTGTACTGAATATTTAACTTGTTTTTTATTTTCTGTAAAATTTTTATTGAATATTTTATTTGTTCC